CAAAAATTTGGTCACATCGTCAGACTCCACTTCTAATTCTAGTCATGAATTATTTTCACAACTGAAGTTAGTACCTCCACCAAAGTCTTGAACCCCTCAAAGCCATCCACAAGGGTTGAAATCAACTTCTTACAAATTCCTGCTGATGCTGATATTTCGATCTCCTCCCACAAATTATGAATCTTCTTAATGGCATCTAAAATGGTGAATCCTTTCCAGAAGGATTTCAATTTACTTTTCCTGGATATTTTAGAGGACTCATTATGGCAGCTATAACCTCACAAAGTGTATTTCTTAAATAATAAGACTTGAAAGTTGAAATTTCTCCTTGATCCATGGGCTGCAGAATGCATACTGTGGTAACAGGCATGACAACATCTCCATCAGAGCTCCTGGGTGACAGGTATATTGTCAATGAGCAGTCATATTATGAAAAGAATCTTTTATTCCTGAGCAGTAGGTGAAAACAGTGAGCTTAACATATTCAGTAAATCATGCTGTTAACAAATGTGCTGTCATCTAGGCTTGTTTGTCCATTATAGAGCAAAGTCAGCGTAGCTTTAGCATAATTCTTAAAGGCCCTAGGATTTCCAGAATGGTAAATGAGACTTTGGTTTCAGCTTAAAGTTACCAGCTGCATTAGCCCTTAATGAGAGAGTCAGCCTGTCCTTTGAAGCTTTGAAGCCAGGCATTGTCTTCTCCCCTCAAGCTACAAAAATCCTAGATAGTCTCTTCTTCCAACAGAAGGCTGTTTCACCTCCACTGAAAATCTGTTGCTTAGTATAACCACCTTCATCAATGATCTTAGCCAGCTCTTCTTGATAATGTGCTGCAGCTTCTACGTCATCACTTGCTGCTTCACCTTGTACTTTTATGTTATGGAGATAACTTCTTTCCTTAAACCTCATGAACCAACCTGTTCTAGCTTCCAAATTTTCTTCTGCAGCTTCCTCACCTCTCTCAGCCTTCGTAGAATTGAAGAGGGTTAGGGCCTTACTCTGGATTAAGCTTTGGCTTAAGGGAATGTTGTGGCTGGATCTGCTATCCAGACCACTAAAACTTTCTTCATATCAGCAATGAGCTGTTTTGCTTTCTTGTTAAAGAACTTGTGCTTTTATTCACAAACTGGCTAACTCTTTGATGCAAGAAATCTAGCTTTTAGCCTATCTCAGCCTTCAACGTGCTTTCCTCACTAAGCGTAATCATTTCTAGCTTTTGATTTAAAGTGAGACATCTACAACAATGGCTTTTCTTACGACACCTTTGGATTATTCCTGAAAAAAAAAAAAAAAAAAAACTCTCTGAGCAGTTGTTTGAAAAAAAGGAAAAAATAAAGTGAGAGATGTGTGACTCTTCCTTACACTTGACATTCAAAGGCTATTGTAAGGCTATTAATTGATCTAATCTCAATATTGTTGTGTCTCAGAGAATAGAGAAGCCTAAGGAGTGGGAGAGAGATGGGAATGGGTGGTTGTTTGATTAGTGAGAACACACACATTTACCAATTACATTTGCTATCTTACATGGGTACACTTTATGGAGCCTGAAAATAATTGCAATATTAAGCTCAATTATCACTGATCACAGATTACCATAGCAGATATAAGAATAATTAAAAAGTCTGAACTATTGTGAGAATTAACAAAATGTAACACAGAGACACAAAAGGAGTGCATGCTGTTGGAAAAATGGTGCCAACACACTTACCCCGTGCAGAGTTGCCACAGTCTAGTGTAAAAAACACAATATCTGTGACATGCAATAAAGCAAAACAAAATAAAACAAAGTATGCCTGTATTTGAATTTATCAGCAAGTTCAGGAATGTGGCAGCAAAACAGATAAGTACAAAAAGAAATCAATTGTATTTTTGTGTACTAGCAATGAAAACCTGAAATAAAATTCGGAAAACAATTCAATTTGTTATTGTTTTCTGTTGCTGCTGCACAAATCAAACAATTAAATTTATAAAAGCAGTGAAAAAGAATGAAATGTCTAGAAATAAATCTAACAAAAGAAGTACAACTTGTATACTATAAACTAGAAAATATTGCTAAAAGAACTTTTTAAAAAATTGAGATAAATGAAAAGAAATCTCATGTTCGTGCATTAGAAAACTAAAATTAAGATGGCAATTTTTCCAAGTTATAGACTCAGCACAATTTCTATCAACATCCCAGGTTTTCTTTCTTTTTGTTGCAGAAATTGACAAGCTGACATTAGAATGTATATGGAAACACGAGAGATCCAGGACTCAGAATAGCCAAAACAATCTTAAAAAAGAAGAACAAAGTTAAAAGATTTATAGCTTTTGTTTTCAAAACTTACTACAGAGCTGCAGTAACCAAGACAGTGTGGTACAATTATAAAGATGGATATATAGATCAATAGAACAGAATTGAGAGTCTAAAAATATACCCTCACATTTATACTCAATTGATTTTTCATAAGACTGCCAGGAGAATTCAATGGGGTAAAAAATAGTTTTTTAGCAAATGATGCTGGACAAGTAGATCTTCACATGCAAAAGGATAAAATTGAATTCTTACTCAAGCTATGCATAAAAATTAACACAAAATGGATATAGGCCTAAATATAAGAGTTAAAACTATAAAAGTCCTAGGAGAAAACATGAGTAAATCTTTGTGGCCTTGGATTAGGCAATGGTTTTTTAGACATGACATCAAAAGCATAAGCAACAAAAGAAAAATAGAGACAACTTAAACTTTATCACAATTTAAAACTTTTGTACATCAAAAGATACCATCAAGGAACTGGAGATAACACACAGTATGGGAGAAAATATTTTATTTTATTATCATTATTATTTTTTGAGACAGGGTCTTGCTCTGTCACCCAGGCTGGAGTACGGTGGCACGATCTTGGCTCACTGCAACCTCCACTGCCCAGGCTCAAGCAATTCTTGTGCCTCATCCTACTGAGTAGCTAGGATTATAGGTGTGTGCCCCTATGCCTAGTGAATTTATGCATTTTTAGTAGAGATGGGGTTTCACCATGTTAGCCAGGCTGGTCTAGAACTTCTGATTTCATGTGATCTGCCCACCTCGGCCTCCCATAGTACAGGGATTGCCTGTGAGCCATTGTGCTCGGCCAGAATGGGAGAAAATATTTTCAGCTCATATGTCTGGCAAGAGACTTATATCTAGAATAGATAAAGAACTTTTACAACTCAGCGGTAAAAGGACAAACAGCTTATTTTAAAAATGGGCAAAGGATTTGAATAGAAATCCCTCCAAAAACTATAGAAATGTCCAATAAACACATGATTCAACAATATTAGTCATTAGGAAAGTGCAAATGAAAACACAAAGAAGCACGGTGGCTCACGCCTGTAATCCCAGCACTTTGGGAGGCCGAGGCGGGTGGATCACGAGGTCAAGAGATCGAGACCATCCTGGTCAACATGGTGAAACCCCGTCTCTACTAAAAATACAAAAAATTAGCTGGGCATGGTGGCGCGTGCCTGTAATCCTAGCTACTCAGGAGGCTGAGGCAGGAGAATTGCCTGAACCCAGGAGGCGGAGGTTGCGGTGAGCCGAGATCATGCCATTGCACTCCAGCCTGGGTAACAAGAGCGAAACTCCGTCTCAAGAAAAAAAAAAAGAAATACCTGTTAGGGTGCCTAAAATAAAAAGACAGTAACAGCTATTGACAGACGTGGAGAAACTGGAACCCTCAAACGTCGCTAGTGGAAACATAAAGCAGTGTACGCTCTTTGGGAAATAGTTTGGCAGCTTCTAAAAAGGCTAAACATAGAGTTACTATATGACCCAGTAATTCCACCACTAGATAAATACGCATGAAAAATGAAAACATAGCCACACAAAAACTTCTTCTGAAATGTGTATAGCAGCATTAATTTATAATATCTAAAAACTAGAAGCAACCTAAGTGTCCATAAAATGATGAATGGATAAACAAAAGGTGGTTTTTGGCAGGTTTCAGTGGATCGCAACTGTAACCCAAGCACTTTGGGAGGCCGAGGTAGGCGGATCACCTGAGGTCAGGAGTTTGAGACCAGTCTGGCCAACATGGCAAAACCCCATCCCTATTAAAAATACAAAAATTAGCCAGGCATGGTGATGCACTGTAATCCCAGGTACTTGGGAGGCTGAGGCAAGAGACTCATTTGAACCCGGGAGACAAATGCTGAAGTAAGCCAAGATTGCACCACCTCACTCCAGCCTGGGTGACAGAGACCCGCATCTTAAAAAAAAAAAAAAATGTGATTTCATACCATATTCCACAATGGAATATGATTTTGCCATAAAAAGAATGAAGTACTGATTTAACATGGATGAATCTTGAAAACATATTAAGTAAAGAAGCTCACATATTGCATAATTTCATTTATTGGAGACGCCCAGAATAAGTAAATCCATAAGACAAAAATTAGGTTAGTGGCTGTCAGAGGCTGTGGGGGTGGGGAGGAGGAGTGATTGCTATCGAATACAAAGTTTCTTTTTGCAGTGATGAACATTTTCTAAAATTAGATTGTAGTAATAGTGGCATCAATTTATTCACGCCTCTGTGAATACATTGAAAACCTTTGAATTGTACACTCTAAAATGGTGAGTTTTATGGTATGTGAAATATATGTTAATAAGGCCGGGCGCGGTGGCTCAAGCCTGTAATCCCAGCACTTTGGGAGGCCGAGGCGGGTGGATCACGAAGTCAAGAGATCAAGACCATCCTGGTCAACATGGTGAAACCCCGTCTCTACTAAAAATACAAAACATTAGCTGGGCATGGTGGTGTGTGCCTGTAATCCCAGCTACTCAGGAGGCTGAGGCAGGAGAATTGCCTGAACCCAGGAGGCAGATGTTGCCGTGAGCCGAGATCGCGCCATTGCACTCCAGCCTGGGTAACATGAGTGAAACTCCGTCTCAAAAAAAAAAAATATATATGTTAATAAAGCTGTAAAACTATCCACACATAACATGAAACCACCTAGACACTAGATTTTATTATGTAAATATTTTTGAAACCAGGTACTTCAGATGATGGAATCTCCATATATGTATAGGGACAGAATATTAGCCTTCTGAACTCTGATGTGAGAAATGGGCTCTATCTATCATTGCAAAGAGTTTCCTCAAAGTGACCAATTCAAACGAATTTTTTGTTTTTGTTTTTTATTACCTTGGGCTTGAAAAATCAATGTAAAAATATGTTGCAATACAAAGGTAAATCCAATAAAACACAAAGGTAGATGCACTGAAGTAAAACGATTCCAAGTTTGTCAAAGAGGATGCTTGCTTATGAACCATGTTTACCAAAACCAAAAGGGAGATAAATGGTCTTCAATGCATGCTTTTGTTGTTTTTAGACAGAATCTCACTCTGTCATCCAGGCTGTAGTGCAGTGGTGCCATCTCAGCTCACTGCAACCTCTGCCTCCAAGGTTCAAGCAGTTCTCCTGCTTCAGCTTCTTGAGTAGCTGAGACTAGAGGTGTGTACCATCACACCCGTCTAATTTCTGTGTTTTAAATAGAGACGGGGTTTTGCAATGTTAGCCAGGCTGGTCTCAAACTCCTGGCCTCAAGTGATCTGCCCGCCTCAGCCTCCCAAAGTGCTGGAATTACAGGCATAAGCCACCACATCTGGCCTTATCTCTTACATTTTTAATTCTTTAAGTAGTACTTATATTTTAAAAGAGTTCTCTGGTTTATATTTTAAAAGAGTTCTCTGGTTAACCTACAGGAACAAAGCAGTAAAGATTTAATTTCAGGCAGCTAGAGTAAAACTGTTAGGGTAGAGATGCCTCCTCTGCCGGGTCAAATCATGTAGAGGAGATAACTTATCTGTCACACTGGTTCTTTCTACCATGCAGTGGTCTTGAAGTTCTTCTACGAGGACTCAAAATCCAACAGAAATGTCTAAGTGCTGTATTTTTTAGGAGCAGATGAAAACTTACACAGGAATTTTAGTTCAATTTGTTACGAACTTTAAAGTCAAAGTGACCTCAAAAAACAGTATCACTTTGTTGAGTGTTGAAAGTACAAGAAGCTAAACAAGAATTATTGTCACTACTAGTAATATTTGTTATTTGGAAGATACTCGCAAATTAAGAAATGTTTGGTTGATTTACTTTTTATTAAAACAATGTGTGTGTGTCTATGTATTTAAAGGAAATCACATATAATTATTTATGATTGTTTTTCATTTATAAGGGTGCTATAGTTTGGCTATTTGTCCCCTTCAAACCTCATTTTGAAATTTGATCCCCAGTGTTTGAAATGGGGCCCAATGGGAGACTTCTGAGTCATGAGGGTGGCTCCTTCATGACCAG